GCTGCTGTGACAGAGAGGGAGCAAAAGGGAATGATATCTGCAAAATGAGGACAACAGTGATGGTTAAGAATAAGCATCTCTGAATCCTCATGACCCACGTGTGCCTCTTCAATGGAACTGCATTTAATTCTGCTCTCGGTATGAGCCCAGTCACTGGGGAAGTAACTACTATTAAGCTGTGTTTAGTGTGGAGAGCTGTATCAGAGCCATAAGTCCAGATAAGTGCTCAGTGTCAAACGTGTGCTTCGTGTGAGGCAGTGTTATACTGAGTTCTGTGAGGAGAGCAGTGGACAACACGGAGGACATTATAATATTAATATTAAATGTATGTAAATTGCATAGAAAGGCAAATAAAGCGAGACTTTCTACCTATTAGATGCATGACTCAGTGGTTTAGGACTTTTTGTCCCCAGTAAGATTGTTTCTGGTTGAAATACCAAGACTGGCAGAGTGATGTCACCATTGGGCCCCTGAGCAAGGCCCTTAACCCCAGAACTGTCTGACCCTTCTCTCTCAAAAGTGTGAGTCACTTTGCAGCATCACCTTGGCATCAGCACCTCACTCTCTAACTGGACTCTGGACTTTCTGACCAGCAGACCCCAGTCTGTTAGCTTAAGCAGCTGCACCTCCTCCACCCTGTCACTGAGCACTGGAGTCCTCCCCCGTACTGCCAGCTCACCTACAGTATGGCTATGCCCCTACAAACAATCTAACATCACCATCAAGTGTGCAGGAAGCATGAGAACAGTGGGGCTGATCAGCAGGAACGACGTGAAGGCCTACAGGGAGGAGGGTGACCACCTGACTGTGTGGTGTGCTGACAACACTAACTCTCAAAGCCAGGAAGACTAAGGACTTCAGGAAGCCATAAACACCACCATTAACATCAATGGGGCTAAGGGGCAGGAAGTCTCCAGCTTCGAGCTCCTAGGAGTGCACATCTTAGAGGATTTCTCCTCATCTACTAGATCCTCCACCATGGTCAGAAGGGCTTAGTAGTGTCTTTACTTCCTGAGGAGACTGAAGAAAGCCTATCTGTGAACTAAGATCTTGACCAACTTATACAGTGTACTATTAGAATTTAGTGATTAATTGTCATTGTTAACACACCACAGCACACAGTGCACAACAACGAAATGTGTTCTCTGCATTTAACCCATATGTGACATAGCAACTAATTCAGCCCCAGGGAGCAGTGCTTGGGGGAGGGGGGTACCTTGCTCAGGGTACCTCAGTGGTGCCTTGCTGGTCGGGGATTCAAACCTGCAATCTTTCAATTGTAAGTGCGCATCCCTAAGCATTAAGCCACCACTGCCCATTAAAAGTGTCCCAATCAGCTCTGTAATGTTGTCATACAGCAGTTGCTGTTCTCCAACTGGAAGGCCCTGCAACGGGTTAGAAAAACTGCTGAGTACATCACCTGCACTCAACGCTCTCCGCTATCGAGGATCTGCAGCAAAAGTAATGCCTGAAAGGACTGGATGATTCTCCCACCGAGACCATAGACTGTTTACCCTACTACAGAAGCCTCTGCTTCCTGAGGAACAGCTGTCCATGCTGAACTCTCAATCTATCACTTTTGCACTATTTTGCACTTTTGAATTAGATGCCAGAATGCATTTCATTGTCTGGGCACTGATACTTTGCACAATGGCAATAAAGTTGAATAAAATCTAATCTAATCTTTGGATAAAAATTTCATTAAAATAAGGAAACTGAAAACCAGATAATTTACAAGCTCAGCAATAACAGACATGCCTCACAATGAGGTAATGCCAAGGTCCTGGGGGCTTGGGAACCCACAGACCTGCTCATCACAATGAGGTAATGTCAGGGTCCTGGGGGCTCGGGAACCCACAGACCTGCTCATCACAATGAGGTAATGTCAGGGTCCTGGGGGCTCGGGAACCCACAGACCTGCTCATCACAATGAGGTAATGTCAGGGT